GTCAAGAAATCAAACGACGTATTGCATTAGGCAAATCTGTTACACAAGACTTTTTTAAAGTGTTGAAGAGCAAAGGTGTCAGCTTGAAGACTAAGGTGTGCCTGACCCAAGCCATGGTATTTTCAATAACCTCATATGCATGCGAAAGCTGGACAATGAATAAGGAAAACCATAGAAGAATTGATGCTTTTGAGTTATGGTGTTGGGAGGAGAATGTTGAAAGTGCTGTGGGTTGCCAAAAGAACCAACAGATCTGTGTTGGAAGAAGTGCAGCCAGAGTGCTTCTTGGAGGTCAGGATAGCCAAACTTTGTTGCTCATACTTTGGACATATTTTCAGGAGGGGCAAATCACTGGAGAAGGATATCATGTTTGGTTAGGTGGAGGGTCAGAGAAAAAGAGGAAGCCCCCAGTGAGATGGAGTGGCAAAGTGTCAGCATCAATGGGCTGAAGCATGGCAACAATAATGAGATTGGTCTAGGATCAGGCAGTGTTTCGTTCTGCTGTGCATAAGGTCTCTATGAGTCGGTACTGACTCGATGGCACCTAACAACACATTAGGCCGGAAAATAGCAGGAAATGACACCAGAGTAGTAGCAGGGAGCTAGGTAGTAAAGCCATGATAAGTCAGGATTTGGGTTTTATTCTGAGATGGATAACCTGCTAGAAGGTTGTGAGATGAGAAGTAATACGTTCAGCTAAGTATGCTCACTCTTATCTGCTATATGAAGAACACATTATTGGGGGGGGGGGGGCAAATGTAGAGGCAAAGAGATGTGTTTTTAGGCCAGTGAAGTAATTCCACCTTCTGGTAGCTTGCACTAGAAGAGGACAGAGGTGCTGAGAAGTAGTTGGATTCTGAACCTATTTTGAAGGTGAAGACTAGAGAACTTACTTATAGATTGGATATAGAATATGAGAATGGTGCACTTTACTATTTCCATGCCTTTCTTCATGTCACTTGTAAATTGTGTGATCTTGGTCAAGTTTCTGTCTTTCATTCCTGAAACATTAGTATGGGTCTTCATCTTCTCTCCTAGCCACACTCCCCAAACTGCAACAAACACCCTAACGCCTCATCTCCCAGACTTTAGACTGGCTTTTTCTAAACTGTTGCCTGAGTAAGCATCCATATTGCCTATTCTGTCTTAATATCATCCAATGCTTCATCAGAGCCTTAGGAGAAAATCTAAACTCACTGGTATGGATCTGGCGCTGATTTCCGCCCCAGCTTCCTCTCCCACCCCTTTCATCTCTCATGTGCGTCCCCATATGCCACCACAACCTACACAAATGTCCACTTTCCTCTTGTTAGAGACAAAATAAGTTTCTCTTGAGTAATACCAAAGGGCTGGAAATATTCCACAATTGCTCAGGTGAAAGGAATTTATTCTTATAGTCTGTTCAAACATCTAGTTTTTACAGTTCTTTTTAATAGGTTCATTTTCAGGTCAAAATTATTTTTTGACTCTCACTCTTTTCATTTTTGGAGAAAATGGTCTTTAAGTATAGTCATTATATTGACAATTTATTAAAAGAAAATACAATAATTTGGGTATTGACTAAGAATAATCCAGAACTTTCTGGCATGGCAACCATTTTGCTCGGATTGACTATTCAGTGCAATGAGTTACTTTTATGTTACCTTTAGCCATAGGCTTGCAACTCCTACAATACGGTCACAATCTTGCAAGGGATTGATCAATTAACTATGCAAATAGTGGCTTTAAAAATCCACCCAGTAGGGCTTAGCTCCTAGCAGCCCAGCTAAGAATTAGTGGGTTTTGTCATCCTCCTAGGCTTATATTAGAGCCAATCTCACAGAGATTTAGGGGGACCTTGCTAACATCAAGAACAGTCTGCAATAAAGTGTGTCCTTTGGACACATGGTCTTAAAGCTGAGTACCTCCTACACTCAGAAGAGTGCCATAATGCTAAGATAAAGTGAGGTTCTGCTGGTTGGTCCAAGGAAAAAAAGAGATAATTGGGCTGTGCTTGCTACTGCATGGAGAGAGAAAGTTAGGTGCAGGAGGTTTACCTGCTGCTAAAGCTCTTTAACAGTAGCCCATGCAGAGCAGAGGCCTGGGTGTGACCCATGCAACATGCATTTCATGCTAGGAAGCATGGTGGGAACCACATGGGCCCTAAGGCAGTGCCAGCTTAGGCAGCATAGTAAACCAAAAAAAAAGGAATTATATAGGCCTGGCTACCATGGTGAAGCCAGCAGCAGAGGCTAAGGAGGGACTAGCAGCAAAGGCTCCAGAGATCCTGTGCAAGGACCTTCCTGCTGGTGAGGGAAGGGCCAGCTAGGCCCAGTGGCACAGCAGCAGCCTCGGGGAATGCTAGGCAGTGTGGGGGCAGCCAGAGGCAGCAATGATGTGAACACAGTGTCTGACCTGAAGCACAGTACACTGACCAGTGCCACGGAGAAAGGCACTTACACAGATGGGCACTTTGAGGAAGGATGTTTTCCTTTGAAAATCTGCTGCTATTGTTTGCAGTTTGAGTTCCATAAAAAATCATTGTTTTCACTGTGCCAACACTGTGTAAATGTCTCATACATCCAGATCAACTGCAGAAGAAAGTAGCACCCATGGAAAAGCTGACGCCAATGGGTGTTATGTACCTCATTCTTAGCAGTCACATGGCAAAGCAGACAGAGACATGAACACAGACTGGAGACAGATACTAAAACTAAAAACACTGTCACTGTCAATTCTGACTCTTAGCGGCCCTATTGGATGGTGACTGCTACATAAGGTTTCCAGAGCTGTCAATCTTTACAAAAGCAGATGCCGTATGTTTCTGCCTCTAAGTAGCTGAAGAGCTAATAAGAAAAGCAACTCAGAGAACATAAATTCCTCATATCATGAGATGCTAATTTTTCCAGCAAACAGCATGTTCTTCTTGTAAGGTACAGAAAACCATGCCTTTAAAAGTGCAATCTTGTGTCAGCATCTCTTAATTTATTAACATTTCAACTTCAATTATAATTTCACCAAACACCACCAGGAAAGTACTGAAATGCACAGTTGTTGAAAGGCATGGCAGAACACAGTTCTGGAACAACCAATTATAATAATTCTACTTTTTGAGATTAAAGTTGATATAGTCAGGAGACTTTTCCTTTGATTTTAGTGTTTTAGTTGGCTCCTAAATACATTCCCCAAAATTATTATTAGTGCTGGAACATTTCAAATTATGTCATGAGATTAGCATCTATAAAAGCTGAGTACTCATGTAGAAGTAGTCTCATTGTTATTTTACTGTCTGCACAAGATTCAACAATACTGTGGTTTCAAATTTAGGGTCTAGGAGAACATTAGAGACAGGAGCCTAGTGCTGATGATTTTTCAACAGTTGTTCAATTGTCTGAATCTCTCAAGTACATTATATGTTTCAACTGTTTGAAAAGCACTGAAAACAACTGGAGAAGCCTATGTAAGAAGATTGTTTAAGCTATAGGATACTACTAAAGGATTTAACGAGTCAAAGAAAATTTACTGACTTTAATTGGTCTGTCTCCTGTCATGCTCCAAAAATTACAATGATTTCCTCATCACCTAAAGAATAATACATACTTTAAAACAGGTCAAATTTTCCTCCAGGAAATTTGTACTGTTATTGTACGAATACATGGGGCTCTGGTCTCGGATGAGAATGAATGAATGCTAGCTAGTGTTCTAGTGCTCCTGTAAGTCTCTGAAAGAAAGGAAATGTTTTTTTTATATGAAGAAGTCTGAAATACTTTAAACTTCCAAGTAACACAAAAGGAAAGAACTCAGTGAGCACTGAGTAGTCCATGAACGACTGCCACTCTGACAGGCAGAGTCAGGGAACAAATAAATTTCAGCAGTCTCTGAGGGCACTATCTTTCACTACCACCCACAAGCCCCCCAGTCCTTGACAAGTATGCCTACCCTATGTTACATGACAATCAGCTTCTGCCCCTTCAAGGTTAGCACAGGGGGAAAGCATCCCAGGCTCAGCAGAAATTCTACAAACAGTGTGGGCAAACAGCAAATATCGGGAGTGGGGATGGGGTGAGGGGGTGGATGGGAACACGACAGTTCAGCCAGTTTGCAACAATACACTGACAAATATCCTGTGTTGGAGATGAAAAACAGCTGCAATTGTGTTGTAAGGGCCAGGACTTACATTCAATTTAAAACACACACACACACACACACAAATGAGGATGGTTCAGATGCAAATGCCATTGTCAAGGCTGAGGATAAAGGAATGTACATACCGCATCTGTGATGTCTATTTCATAGACTTTTTGGAAAGTCCGGCGCTCGAAGAAAACAAGCTTGCCACTGCCACATCCCCGTTGAACAGATGTGCCGGTGACAATGAGTTTATCATCTGGACTGAAACAACAGTCAGTCCTAAACACAAAAAGAATTTACACGTATAAGTTTATGACATCACACAGTGTAGTAGTAAGTGAGTTAAAGGAACTAGAAGCGACACCATAGAGTTTATAAACCAAGCATTTACTGATAGTAATTTATTTAATCTTCACAATTATCTTATAAGGAAAATATTCTTTTTCTCCCCCTTCTACACATCAGCAAATGGAGACAGAGAAAGGTTTCATAAACAGAGCCTAAATCACACAAGTGGTATAGCTGAGATTCAAACTTTAGCACTCTGATTCTAGAATTCATAGTTTTAATTTCTATATTGTAATATTTTTTAATATAAAGGGAGTATGGGAAAACTTCAGACCCTGATTCATAATAAAGAAGTGATTCTTTTCATCAATTTTGAACTAGTTTTTACTACCCTAACCTAGTGTGGTGCTGTAAGATAAGCACTGGAATGCTAACTGCAAGGTCTTCAGTTCAAACATACCAGTCCTGCCTTGGAAATCCTTTTCAAGGTTGCTATGAGTTGGAATTGACTTGATGGCACACAAGAACAATCCCCCATACACCCAACCCTAAATAATTTTAATTAGATCAAGAGAAATACCATGAAATCTGGGCAGATTATACCACTGGGACATGTCGCTGTTGTTTGGTGCCATCAAGTCACTCAGAGGGGCCCCATGCACAACAGAACAAAACACTGCCTGGTCCTGCAGCATTCTCACAATTATTGTTATGTCTGACCCCATTGCTGCTGCCACTGTGTCAATTCATCTACTTGGGGGTCTTCCTCGTTTTCACTGACCCTACACTTCATCAAGTCCTTCATCAGGGACTGGTCCCTCCTGATAACATGTCCGAAAGTATAAGTGATGAAGTCTCACCATCCTCACTTCTAAGGTGCATTCTGGTTGTACTTCTCCTAACACAAATTTGTTTATTCTTCTGGTAGACCATGGTATTTTCAATATTCTGCTCCAACACCATAATTCAAATGCATCAATTCTTGTATGGTCTTCCTTATATCTAACGTTCACATGCCATAAGGTGATTGAAAATACCATGTTAGGTCAGGTGCACCTCAGTTCTCAAACTGACATCTTTGCTCCTGAACACTTTAAAGAGGTCTTATGCATCAGATTTGCCGATTACAGTGCATGATTTGATTTCTTGACTGGGCCTCCATGAGTGTGGATTGTGGAGTCAAGAGAAATGAAGTTTGACAACCTGCAATATTTTCTCCCCTTGTTATTCAATAACAATATCATAATGTCATTGGCCCATGTATGAGAATTTTTGTTTTCTTTTCATTGAGGTGCAATCATACTGAAGTCTTTGATCTTCATCAGTTAAGTATTTTAAGTTCTGTATAATTTCAGCATGCAAGACTGTATCATAGGCATATCATAGGTTGTTAATGAGTCTTCCTCCAATCCTGGTGCCACGTTCTTCTTCATATCATCCAGCTTCTCAAGTTATTTGCTCAGCATAGAGATTGAATAACTACAGTTAAAGAATACAGCTCTGGTGCACACCTTTCCTGATTTTAAAACATTCGGTATTCCTTGTTCTGTCCCAATGACTGCCTCTTGGTCTATGTACAGGTTTCTCATGAGCACATGAACTGTTCTGGGATACCCATGATTTGCAATGTTATCCATAGTTTGTCATGATCTACACAGTCAAAAGTCTTTGTTTAGTCAAAAAGTACAAGTAAACATCTTTCTGGTATTCTTTGCTTTTAGTCAAGATCCACCTGACGTCTGAGATGATATCCCTGGTTCCAGAGACTCTTCTGAATCGGGCTTAGATTTCTTGCAGTTGCCTGACTATGTACTATTGCAACTGTTTTTGAATTATCCTCTGCAAAATTTTACTTGCATGTGGTATTAATGATTTCTGTATTCTGTTGGGTCACCTCTCTTTGAAATGAGCACAAATATAGATCCCTTTCAAATCGTCAGCCAGATAGCTGTCTTCCAATTTTCTTGATATAGACTAATAAGTGCTTGCTTCATCAGTTTGCTGAAAGATTTCAATCTGTATTCCATCAATTCCTGGAGTTTTCTCGCCAGTGCCTTCAGTGCAGCTTGGATCTCTTCTTTCAATAACATCAGTTCTTGATCATATGCTACCTCTTGAAATGCTTGAACATCGACCGTTTATTTTTGGTACAGTGACACTGTGTACTCCTTCCATCTTCTTTTGTGTTTTTAATCCTTCAATATTGAAAGTTGAGGCTTGAATTTTTCTCTTCTGTTCTTTCAGCTTGAGAAATGGTAAGTGTGTTCTTCCCTTTTGATTTTCTAACTCCAGGGCTTTGCACAGTTCTTTATAATACTTTACTGTGTCTTCTCCAGTGCACTCATTAGAACACAGTGGATAGTTAGTTACATTTTAATAGTTCTTATTAACGCCCTGACCACCTGCATTCTTTGTGACATGTTGATTATGAATGATCTAGGGAAGATATGGCCCAAATAAGTTAATATTGTTGTTTCATGCCCTAGCATCGATTCCGACTCATAGCAATCATACAGGACAGAGCAGAACTGCCTCAGAGGCTGTGTTCTCCAGGCTGGGATCTTTAAGGGAGCAGATCACCAGAGATGTCTTCCATAGTACTCCTGGGTGGGTTGGAACCACCAACCTTTCGGTTAGTAGTAAGTAGAGTACTTAACTGTTGCACCACTAGGGGTTTTATAGCTGGCATTCATTGCTGCAGGCAAACGGCTCAAACATTTTCATCAGATACATCTTCATTCTTGTTTGAACAGATAATGCTAAGGGAAGTGGACCGATCAAGGTAGAGTTTGTGCTCATGTATTTATATGACTTCCTTCGCTGATGCTTCCATTCCCGTCCAGCACTCCCTGGTGTTTATTATTGAACACAGCTGTGAAATTTCATTTACACCCAGTTAGGCAAATTTGCCTAGGCACCAACTGTTGGGCTCAGAGGTCAAGTCTCACCTCAGCTGCCCACTTGGAATAATCTCAGAAAATTCTTTAAATGCTTCAGTTGCCAACTCAACAGAATGGTGGTAACAGTGCCCAACTCCCCAACGCAGGTTGCCTGACCAACTATAGAAGACTGAATGAATGATTGATTGGAATGCTGATAAGGAAAATTTTGAGAAAATAAGGTATATTTTAACTGCTCTGATAGAAAGTTTAAATTTTAAAAGACCCCAAATACATAGGCCTGGTGGTGGTGGTGGTGGTGGTGGTGGTTATGTGCAGTGGAGTCAGTTCCGACTCATAGCAACCCTCTATAAGGTTTCAGAGGTTGTAAATCTTTATGGGAGCAGAAAGCCTCATCTTTATCCCAGAGCTCCTATATATAAGTCTAATCTATCAGTTACATAGTATTAAAAGAATAATTAAATCCTTTAAAATATTTTCCTTAGTAGCATAGTGGTTACGCTACGCTAACCTCAGGGTCAGCAGTTTGAAACTACCAGCAGTTCTGTGGGAGAAAGATGAGGCTTTCTCTTCCTGTAAAGATTTACAGTCTTGGAAATCCTGTACAGGGTCGCTATGGGTTGGAACCAACTCCATGGCACACCTCCACTACCATTACCAGGATTTGTGCATGCCTATACAGACACACAACAGTAATACATCCACACATAACATTGTCACTTCAAAAAAATTTTTCATAGCTTGAAGAATGTGCAAAATGAGAAAAAAAAAAAAAATATATATATATATCTAACTCTGAAAAAAACAGATTTTACTTTCTCAAGATACTTTTCCAGAAGACCTAAAGACATATAATATAAATTAAGTTTAAGGTAAGAACATTCTTTTCTAATCTTCTATGCTGATCAAATATAAAAAATTTGCTACTTACATTGGAAACAAGGTGGGAAGACCAGAGGCTGAAAAAAGTGGCTTATTAAACTGTCGGACATCCCATAATTTTAATGTATCATCACCTGGTAGAGGAATGCAAAGCAAAAAGAAAAAAATATGAATCAGGCAAAACAGAATTCTTCCAACTTTAGAGGTTGCTAAACTTAGTGGATAATTATTTTTAAAAGAAAGGAAAAGAAAAAAGCCAGATGCACAAAAACATAGTTTCCTTCTTTTAACTGTTGAGGGAGCTGGAAAGCGGTAGTTGAGAGAACAGTAGAGAGCTCTGCTTTGAGAAGCGGTTTTGCAGATGATGCAGCATCTCTGGGCTAGGCTACAGCATCTACTCTACAGCGTGATTTTGGAGCAGATGGCAGTTCCCTGGGGTATATTTGAGCATAACCTGACTTCTCGAGATGATCTTAATCTAATAACCATCAGGACTGAAAATATTTCTATTCACAACAGATTCTCCCCTCCCATAGTTTGTGAGTAAGGCCATCCATTAATGTTAATGAGGAGGAGTAATATGACTCCCTTCCCTCAGGTGAAACTCCACCTGCAACTATCATTCTTCACTTTGCTGGGGAGAGAGTTTTTCTGAGCCACTTAGAGAGTAATGAACATCTTTTGATGAATCACTTTTTTTACATTTCTACAGGGCTACTAACTAATTCCTGACTAGAACAAAATCACCGTTCTTTCCCTAGTGACCTTCCCTCTGAAACCGACATTTATCCCCTCTAAAGTCCACAGCTAGGGAGCTCTGGTAGCGTAGTGGTTACGAATTGGGCTGCGAACCATAAGGTCAGCAGTTCGAAACTACCAGCTGCTCCGCGGGAGAAAGATGAGGCTTTCTACTCCCGTAAGGATTTACACCCTCGGAAACCCTGTACAGGGTCGCTATGGGTCGGAACCGACTCGACGGCACTTAACAACAACAAAGTCCACAGCTAACTAGACTACTGCACCTGCTTGTATTGGGAGAACTTTGTTAACATTTGCCTTTGGAATGCTGCTCATTTTAACTGATGTCTTCACAAATTGTGGCTGCATGTGTTTGAGGATTGTTACATATGAGGCCATAATCCTCAAACAGTAAGAAAACTTTATACTTAGCAGTTAGCTAACCATCAGTTTCTGCAGTTAGCAGGGGTACCTTCCAACACCCTGGCAACTCATTGCTTAATAGGCTTCCATCTGCCACATTATATATGTCCAGGAAGGAAAGTGATGGATATATGTGCGTCAACCAAACATGGTACCCACTAGGTATTATAGAATAGAAGGGGAGGTAAGAATTATCATCAAAATGGCTTATTTTTAGATTGAAAATAGACTCAACATAGATCTAGCCCTATATCTCTAAGGTATTAATTAGTTTACTGTGTGTAGCCTGGCTTTTAAAAAAAGTCCTCTGGGAAGATGTTCAGAATATACTCCCCTTTTGCCCTCCTTTTCTCTTCCCACTCCACTTTGGAGATTTGGGCATACCACCCTAAAGATGCAAGAGTGACTATGAGAATGTCTAAGTGAAAAATTTGTCATTTGAAAATCCCTCTCAGGGGATTCAGGTACACTCTTGGAGTAAGAATTTTTTCGGTATAAAATACATACAGTTTGTAAAACTGATGATATGCCCTGTAAACTTTTACCCAATCCACAATAAAAAGCTAAATTAATAAGAAATCAAAAGAAAAAATATATATATATACAGTTTTAATTAGAAGTCATCACTAGGTTAAAGTGACAGGGTGGAATTGATGGTCTGAAATTCATATTTTATATGAAAAATAAAAAACAAATTCATTGTCATCGAGGTGATTCTGACTCACGGTGACCCCATAGGACAGAGGAGAACTGTCTCATGGGGCTTCCAAGGCTGTAATCATTACGGAAGCAGACAACTACAGCTTTCTCCCATGGAGTGGCTGGAGAGTTCAAACCGCTGAACTTCCTATTGACAGCCAAACACTCTAACCACTGTGACCCCATGGCTCCTTTTTATACCTATCGGCATTTACCATGCATATCATTTATACACACACACACACACAACCATACATGCTTTTTCTTGTTTTGATGGAAGGGAGTAGATAATTATTAAATAGAGTAGCTGAGGTTTCTTTAGAACAAAGGATCGCAATGGAGTTCTTAGGAAGAACAGATATAGACTGTTTAGATGGAAAGGAAAGCTAGCTCAAGTCTTATCCCCTCCCTTCACTCTCCAATTGGCCTTGATTGCACAGGATAGAGACCCTAAGATGTTCACAGTACATACCCAACACCTATCATAATGCCTACCTCAGCACAGGTACTCACTATACAGTAGTTGATCGAGTGAATGTATACCTAAATAGAGTGCTGGCAGATTCATCTACCTACTGTAACTCCTTCTCTGTTCTAAGATTGAACTTTTTATGCAACCTGAAGGACCTCTGTAACATGGCTCCAGTCAGTTTATCCCATTCTTTCTTTTTTTCTCTCCACAAATGATCCTACTAGAATATCATCACTCATGTCTCCGAGCTTCCTAGAACGCTTTGCTCAGAAGCTGTCCTCACTATATTTCTAGCTCTTTTTTAATCAACTCACAGGCTATCCATGTAAGAAAGATTTATTAAATAAAAAAAAATTAGAAACAACCTATAGCCAATCATGAAGGAGCTCTGGTAGCATAGTGGTTACAAATCGGTCAGCAGTTCGAAACTACCAGCTGTTCCGTGGGAGAAAGATGAGGCTTTCTGCTCCCGTAAAGACTTACAGCCTCGGAAACCCTGCACAGGGTTACTATGAGTCAGAATCGACTCCACGGCACATAACCACCACCACCACCATAGCCAATCATGAGTGTGTAAATTTATGCTTACAGCCATAGAGAACTTTGTAGTTATTAAAACAAATAACATCCAGGTCTACAAATTGTTTTTAAGTGGTTTGAGTTAGTGTTTGAACTAAAAGCAAACAAGTAAAACAAAACAAAACAAAAAAATTATGTAAACAAACAGAAAGCTTTGAAATACCACACACAGATTTTTTTAAATTACATAGAAAGAATGTAGATCATCATCTACAAAATTCCTAAGGTCATCTTTGGAGGTTTCACTCTCTTAAGGAATTTGAAGCGAAAACAAAAAACTTTAGCAAAAAAATTGCATCTTTTCAAAACTGTTTTTGGTTGTTTTTTTTTTAAAATAACTTTTCGTACTAACAATGTTACCACATTAGAAATGTATTTTAATGTTTTAAAGACAAACACTAGACTGTAAAGGTACATTAACAAAAACACAGCTTTATGAAATGTTGGGATATTAGTATTATATTTATTAGAGTTAAATATGACCATTTTATATTTAGCAACATCTTTTAGGAAAAAACAAAAACAAAAAACTCAACTTACCTCCACGAGAGGCAAGGGCATTACCATCATAGGAAAAGGTCACACAAGACGTGTCTGTACCTGGGGCGTGAGCTTGTTTATAGTGGAATTTTGGGTGGACCTGTGTGTGGAGAGAGGCACACCTCAGCTGAATTCAGAAAACATTCTGGTGGCAAGAGAATTTCACTTTATCATCATAAAATGATATACACTATAGATAAAATACTAATTTCACCCAATCTGCAATGCTTTCCTTCTGACTAGAAAAATATCAAAAGGCTTTTTAAAGCATCCCCTTGTTTTCATTAATGGAAAGAAGAGATAAGGTCAGCAGGAGCTAATTTTTCAGACTGCATTAGCAAGCTCTGAGCAATCCAAGATTGTCACAGCAGTTAGTTCTTCTTATACTTATAAAGTGATTGGGGCCATTTCTTACATTTATCTGGAAGAGCAAATATAAATAAAAGTTATATAATATGCATATTACTTAATAACTCAAAACACATTTATTACATTCCCAGTTGCAGGTCTTTACCCTTAATGTGATTGTGGAGTCCCTGGTGTGGCACTGTGGGATAAAGCCCTGGACCACAAGGTTGGTTTGAACCACAAGGTTGGCTGTTCAAACTCACCAGCTGCTCCTTTGAATCCTATATAGAGTTGCTATGAGTCAGAACATACTCAATAGCACTTAACAACAACAATAAAAATGTACTTGTAGGATAATAGCAGCAGTAGCTAACCTTACACCAAACACAAACCAAACCATCCTGCCATCGAGCTGGTTTCGACTCATAGTTAACCATGTTACTGTTGTTGTTTCGTGCCATCAAGTTGGTTCTGATCCATAGCGACTCTGGCTGGTGGGTTTAAACTACTGACCTTATGGTTACTAGTTCAGTGCTTATCCTACAGTGCCACAACTGACCTATAGAGCAGAGTCAAGTTGCCCTGTAGGGTTTCTAAGGTTGTATATCTTCTTGGAAGCAAACTGCTACATCTTTCTCATCAAGGAATGGCTGATGAACATGAACTGTCGCTTTCTGAGTTGGCAGCTGACTTCCACTGTGGCACAAGGACTAAGTCTTCCACAGTACTTGTTATATCCTAGACAGTCTACCCTAACTATCTCACTATGTAATCCTCATACTCTTCCTACCAGTTAGGTTATACTACTAATCTCCACTTTACAACTGAGAACTTGAGACACTTACTAGCTTGCCCAAGGTTGCCCAGCTAAGTGGTAGCTAAACTAGGAGTTTGAACCTGAAAAAGCCTCCTCTGGAATACACTACATCTTCTCTCATGCTGATGCATGTTAATACACCTTTTACTTCTAATGGGACTTCTGTGCAGTTGGTGATTTGCAGAAGGAAGTCTATCTACTACAATAAGCTTGCTGTTTAGTTATGATGAAGTGGCTGCTGTTGCTGCTGTTAAGTGCCGTTGAGTCGGTTCTAACCCACAGCGACCCTGTAGAGGGTTTCCAAGGAGCAGCTGGTGAGCTTGAACTGCCGGCCTTGTGGTTCAAACCAACTTTGCCGTCCAGTGCATTAACCCACAGCGCCACACCAGGACTCCTGATTAAGTGACCACCAGTATAAGTGGGGCAAGGCTTTTAATGTGTCTATTATCTTCACTCATTTTTGCCCATACTTTTGTGGGGATAATTGACTTCCCAGTCTTTTGGCCTATACTAGTGATTAAGTAACTAAGGAGCTCTGGTAGCGTAGTGGTTACAAATCAGTCTGCTAACCTCAGGGTCTGCAGTTCAAAACTACTAGCTGTTCTGCAGGAAAAAGATGAGGCTTTCTGCTCACGTAAAGATTTGCAACCTCGGAAACCCTGTGCAGGGTCGCTATGAGTCGGAACTGACTCCACAGTACTTAACAACAACATAGGCCAAAAGACTGGAAGTCAATTATCTCCCCAAAAGTATGAGCAAAAATGAGTGAAGATAATTGACACATTAAAAACCTTGCCCCACATATAATGGTGGTGGTGGTAGACGTGTATCGTGGGGTCAGTCCCAACTCAGAGTGACCGTGTATAGGGTTTCAGAGGCTGTAAATCTTGACAGGACCAGAAGGCCTTATCTTTCTCCCATGGAGAAAAATTCAAACTACTGACCTTGCCATTTCCAGTGTAACCAGTAACCTACTACACTACCAGAGCTCCTTTGCCACATACATAGCTGTCAGTAATACAGTTTCGTCTGAGACAGCCAGAAGTGTTTGTGTGGTATGTGTGTGTATGCGTACACATGGATATGTGCTGTGCTGGGAAACTGCCCAATGGTTCTAGGCCATCAGCAACCTTCCTAGGGCAAGTCCATAGTTAGAAGATGGAGTAGAGCTGGCAATGACAGCATGTGGGTTTCCCCTGGGAATCACAGGTATGGGAACGCAAACACCGCCATTTCTGTTGGCCTTTAGGCAACCCTACGAAAGAATGAGTCACAAAATAGAGATTGTGCACTTTAAACTCCCAACAATAATCCTGAAACCCAGTCACTGAACTGACACTTAACAGCATCTAGTAATGAAGACCAATTTGTTGTTAAGTGCCTTGAAGTTGGTTACGACTTATAGTGACCCCAATAAGCAGCTGGTGGGTTTGAACTACTGACCTTGTGGTTAGCAGTCCAGTGCTAATCCTACAGTACCATACCAGGAGTCCTACCACCTCATTAAAGTCGGTCAGTTCTTTTTTTCTCTATGAATAACTGGTATAAAGTAAGTTAAAATTAGCTCTATTCAGTTCTTCTGGGTGACAGTACTAGAAATAGATTTTAAAGATGGTTAACATGGGTCTTCCTTTCATGTGCAGACTGTTACATGCTCATTCATGATTTTTATTGGGTATCAACTGTATGCCAGACACCACGTTTAGAAGGAAAATACAAATTGATAGAGGTAAACATGTTTGAGTTTTTTTTTTCTCAAATAGTTGACAGACCATGCCCTGAAGGGACATGGGTAAGAACAGAGAATGACAGTCTCTATAGTGGGGAAGTATAGAGGACTTCCAAGGGGCAATTGTTCAAACAGAACACGGGACCACTGGATGGTTTAAAAGTAAAAAAGGCGTGCCACAGGGTTGTATTCTTTCACCACACGTATTCAACCTATACGCTGAGCAAACTGTCCTAGAAGCTGGATTATATGAAGAAAAAGATGGCATCAGGACTGGAAGAAGATTCATTAACAAGCTGTGATATGCAGATGATACAATCTTGCTTGATGAAACCGAAAAGGACTTAAAATACTTACTGATGAAGACCAGAGACCACAGCCTTCAGTAAGGGTTGCACCTCAATATAAATAAAACAAAACTTCTCACCACTGGACCAATAAACAACATCCGTATAAATGGAGAAAAGATGGAAGTTGTCAAAGGCTTTAGTTTGCTAGGATCAACACTCATAGAAGCAACAGTCAAGAAAGCAAACATTGCATTAGGAAAATCTGCTGCACATAACCTCTTTTAAAGTGTTCAAGAACAAAGATACCAGGTTTGTTTTTTAATCTTTTTTTGTTTTTTTAACTTTTTATTGTCAAAGAGATCAGTTTGAGGACTAAGATACATCTGACACAAGCCATGGTATTTTCATAACCTCATATGTATGTGAAAGTTGGACAGTGAATAAGAAAGAATTGATGTATTTGAGTTATGGTGTTGGAAGAGAATATTAAAATTACCAAAGACTGCCAATAGAACAAACAGAACAGTACAGCCAGAGTGTTCCCTGGAAGCCAGGATGACCAAACTTCATCTCTCATACTTCTGACATATTATCAGGAGGGAACAATTACTGGAGAACAATAATCATGTTTGGTGAAATGGAGGGTCGGACAAAAAGAGGGAGACTTCCAACAAGACGGACTGGCACAATGGTGGCAGGGATGGGCTCAGGAACAGCAAGGATTATGAGGATGTTTCATTCTGTTATGCACAGGGTCACTATGAGACTGGACCTACTCGATGGTACCTGACAACAATATGTGAGCACTGAGGAGGCCTTCCTAACACAAACTTGGATGGGGAGGGAAGAAAGAGGGATTAAGAAATAAAATAAGAGGCCTAATGCATAAAGAAGAGTTAGCTGGTGATGGGCCAAAAGAAAATATTTCGATCAGAGTGATACTGCAAGTGAAATAGTAGGCCAAATTTTGACCCCTTATGACCTTAGCTCCCTGCATTATACCCATGAATATGTTACATTGCATGGCAAAAGGTACTATGCAGAGTTAATTAAATTACTAGTTAATTGACCTTAAAATAGTGAAATTATCCTAGATTATATGGATAAGGTCAAAATAGTCACCAAGCCAAAACCAAACCTACTCCCATCAAGCTGATTCTGACTCACAGCCACTCTATATAGGGTTTCTGAGACTAAATCTTTATGGGAGCAGACAGAAAGTAGTCAAATGTACCCTTAAAAACAAAACACTGCCCTAGGTACAGGCAGACAACGAAGCCAGAGATGTCACAGAAGAGGAAGATGAGAAGCATGAAAAGTTTTTGGCACCTGTCACCATCAAGGAAACAGGGACCTCAGTCCTGGAACCACAAGAAACTGCATTCTGCCAAAACCCAGTGTGCTTAAAGAGACCCTGAGCCTCAGGTGAGAGCAGCAGCCTGACTGATATTTCGGATTAGCTCAGCGAGACTCCAGCCCTTCCATGCACTACACTAGATATGTGGCAGTGTGTTATGCAAATATAGAAAACGAGTGTTTGGGGGTCTGAAAACAAAAGAGCTTGTTGCAGTTAAGAAACTGACAATTACTATAATACTGGAGGGAGGAGCCCTGGTGGCACAGTGGTTAAGCACTCAGCTACTAGCCTAAAGGTGGGCAGTTTGAACCAACCAACCACTCCACAGGTGAAAGATATGACTGGCAGTCTGCCTCCGTTAAGGCTGCAGCCTTTTGAAAACCCTATAGGCCAGTTCTACTCTGCTCGACAGGGTCGCTGTGAGTTGGAATAAACTCAACTGCAGTAGGTTATGGTTTTATACTGGAGGTGGGATGTTTAGAAGTCTTTACAATTCATTGTTTCTAATGCAGAACCAGTAAAAATATGTCATAAAGCAAGGCCTACGCCCTCTGTCTGA